TGCTGCGAGCAGCAGGTGAGCAGAGAGGCCACGCAGAGCCCCACGCCTTCCCCTGCATCCCAGGCAGCGCCAGGGAGCTGCCAGCGGCATCCATGCTCCGCACCGGAGGGAACRCTGTGGGCACGGGGCAGGCGGGGCACGTGGGTTGCAGGGGTAGTGCCAGCCCTCTTGCTTCTGGGGTTCACATGCAGCATGCAGGAGGACATCAACCCTCCCAGCGGCCTGTCCCTGCAGGCACCCACGAGCWGCCCAAGCAGCATCTTCTAATCCTGCTTTAAGGCTTTTCCCAGCCTTTGCCAGGAGCTGGGCATGAGATGCAGCCCACTCCTCCCAGCAGGACTCAAGGACACTCCAAGTTCCTTTGCTGGGGGTGATGCCCAACAGGGAGGAACAGACATCACTGTTGGCAGAGCCAGTTGCTGGGTGCATGAGGATGGAAAATCCTGAGCCGCTGGCCCTGTTGTGGGCCCTCGCTGTGTGTCTGCAGCTGAGGTTGGGCACTGGCTGCTCTTCTTCATCTGTTCYGCTCACACTGGGCCCTGCAGCACCAGGGAGCACTGCCCCCATGCTCTGGGAAAGGTGAGACACGGGAGACGCTGGTGAGCCCTGGCTCCACAAGGAGAGTGGGCAAGGAGGCCTTTTTCCAGCATCAGAGGTGTCYGAATATGAACAACTGATGGTTTAGGGTGGCTATGTCCTACCAAAAAAACCCCAAGCATTTCCCACACTTTTAATGTCTTCCTCAAGTCCCTGGAGGGAAAAGTCCCAGAGGGCATTTCCCACTGTGCAAGGAACCAAGAACCAAGGTGTTCCTCAGGCCATGTGGGCTGATGGCTCCCCATCTTCACCCAGCGACAGCTCTGCTTGTTTGCCCCATCCTCTCCAGATTGGGAGCCAGGCACAAGCACAGTGAGACCCCAGGCAGGTGGGCTGTGCACTTTGGGGAAGCAGTGCCCACCACCGTGCCCACTTGACGCACCCAGTGACGTACCCAGCTCTGTGTGCCCGCCGGCACAGAGCCAGGCCGCCTGCCCAGCCACGGCACGCGCACGGGAGCCGTTAGCTTGCAGCACAAAGCCTGGATTTAGCCAGCGCGGGCACCGCGCTCAATGCCCCGAGTATGTGCACGGGGAGAATTGGCTCTTCTTCTCCCCGGCGTGCGCGCAGCCCCATGTCCCTCCCCTSCCGCGCTGTGCCTGGCAGCGAGGACGGTCCCCACCAGCGCTGTGCGCAGGAGCAGCCCGCCGGCTCATGGACCGCGATCCCCAAGGCTTAAGCTCTGTGCAGCCACGATGCCCCTGGCAGGGGAGCGGGCAGGGGGTGTCGCGCCCCTGGCTTGGGGTGAGTAGCCACCAGCACGTTCGTGGGTACCTGGACCTTGTGGGTCCCAGAGGGGCACATTGCAATAACTGGCGGCTCCTTGCAGCATCGGGAGCTGCCCAGGGGCATCCCGGTGTCCCCTGCAGCAGGCGGGAGAACGGGGTTGCAAATGTAGCATGGGTGCCCTACGCTGCATCCAGGGACGGCTCGCGGGTGGTCTGGCTGCGCGTGGGCCGCCAGGGCCACCTGCTCGGGGCTGCTCACGCGGGACCGGCTCCGGTCCTGCACGTACCGGGAGAGGGGCCAAGGCCAGGGGAGGCCTGGACGGCTGCCTCCCAAAAGGCCGTCGCAGAAGGCGCAAGGCGCTGCCAGCGCCGCCTGCGAGAGCTGCACTTGCTCTTCCCTCCCTCGCTGGCCGCAGCGAGCAGGAGAGGCCGGCACGCGTGCAAGGCATCGACCTTGCTGCTGGCCGTCCGAGCTCAGCCTGTCCCAGCACGATGAGTGCAGCGGGGGTTACAGGCACGTGGCACCAGGTTACGAGGGCCTTGTGGTTTCTTAGACGTRTGACTCTGCTTTTTTGGAGACCTATCATTTCAGACTCATCCAGTGCACTTGTGCACGGGCAGTTCACCCATGTGCGCAAGGTGCTCTGCACGCACCAGGCTGCTAGCACGTGCCACCCTGCCTTTTATGAGGGGGGCACGTGCAGTGTCCTGGGCACATTGAGCTCATTTGCACCCACAGATCCACTCTGATCCTGCACGYGGGGCACTGGGCACTCCCCACCCGCATGCACAGCCTTTCAGCAGTGCAAATCTTCCCTTTGGTCTGGGTATGGAGCCTGGATACTCCTTCTGGGCTCAAATCCCAACCAAATCCCTGATCCTAGTTAATTAACAGAAGCAGGAGTGGAGACACTGGCTCTGCCCCCTCAGCACACGGGCTGGCCCAGCACGGCCAGGCCCTGCACACGCAAGCAACGGCAGAACAAGCCTCCCTGCAGGCAGCCCCCGCGCGGGCTGCGCGCTGCATCCCATGGAGCAGCCCCCCGGCAGCACCGTCCCTTGGGGAGCCGCGGCAGGGCAGGCCAGCGGGACGCCCCGGCCCCCGCGCCGTCTCCATGGCTGCGCCGTGGCACGCGTCCACGCGCGCCCCGGAGATGCAGCTATGTCTTTAAGAAGGGCCTAGGCTGGGGTTGGGGGGAATCGTTTCCGTGCAGCTTTTCTCCGAGCAAGCCTGGATCGAGTTAGCGTGTGGAGCAGGCGCTGCCGCTGCTCCYGGCTGCGGGCAGCAGCCAGCGAGCCCAGTGCAAGGGCGCAGCCTTCGCCCCCGATACCAGGCGCTGCATGGGGAGAGGAAGAGGAAGAGCTGGGTATGTCCAAGTTTTTTCCTTGCCCTTTCCTTTGTGCTTGCAAGGTCCGTGGCTCAATGGCTCCAATAGCTCCAATGGGGCTCGCATCAGGGCTGGCGAGGGGTGCACATAAGCRAGCTGCACATCCTGATGCTGAGCGCCAGGCGGGGGAGCTGGACCAGTTCCAGTGGGCTGGTAGGATCCGTGGCATCCACCTTGAGGACAAGCGGGGACCACGGGGCCCCAGGGAGGATGCTCCTGGGCAGCACAGTGAGGAAAGACCTGTGGCACCTGAGGAATCCCAGGAATGCAGAACCCGGAGGGGACACGAGGTGGCACGGTAGCTTCAGCAGAGCCTTTTAGTGCTCACTCTGCCAGCAGCAGGGCCAGCGGGAGAGCAGGAAGCCCAAGAGAGCTGCATGTGCCCGTGGTGCTCACAGTACAGGGAGAGGGATGCAGGGCAAGAGGTGACGTGCTTTGAGCGTCTTGTTGCTCTGCCCACCCCAGGGTAAGGAGGGAAGAGATGGATGGGTTTGCAGGCGTGTGGCCGCAGTGATGCTGCAGCCTGGTTGGGCACCACAYGCCTCATCTTGCTTGGGGACTTAGGTGAAAATATTTGCTAGCTCAGTATTTCTCCGAACTCCCCCACCTCCAACTTGTCTCGGCCACTTGTTTTCCTGGAGATGAGGAACTTGCTTGCACCTCCTATGGCTCCGTAAGGTCCTGCCGCACGATGCTCCCAGACTCACGCACGCAGTCGCCTCGCGGCAGGGGCGCGCAGGCAGGACGGCGTCCTGGCTCGCATGGCTCGCAGCTCCTTGCCTTTTGTCAAGCAGCAAAGAGGGGCGAGCAGGAGCAGAGCTGCAGGCCCCACCGTGCGGAAGGTCTCGCGGGTRCCCGGGCCCGGCGCAGCGCGCGGGGGCCAGGGGCTGCGCGCAGGCGGGCGCGGAGCCGGGGGCGCGCGCAGCTGCGGCCCACGCGCCGCTCCAGCTGTCACACCCACCTGCTCCCGCATCAGGCAGCGAACGCGCGGCCTGCGCCAAGTCCCCATCCAATTTGTGGCTGTTTCCATAACAACCTCCCAGGGCTTTCTGGTCCTTTCTGGCACCGCGCGGATGCCGAGCTCCAGCATGCGAGCGATGTGCGATACCTCCCTGCTTGGGACGGGGCAGCTCGGGTGAGCAACCCAGAAGGCTGCTCCAGCGCCTGGGCCGTGTTGGAGATGCTGCCCATTGGGCCCCATGGTGGCACCAGGGATGGTGGGAGCACTTTGCCCGGCCAATCTCCTATCCCCTGCAGTCCTACCTGCATGTCCCAACCGTCATCACTGGTGGACCAAGGTGTCTTCTATCGCAGACCCGACTCTTGTTCAGCTCCCTGGCCCTGGCTRCAGAGGCCAGGGAGCTGAGTCCCGTCCCACTGGTCGCATGGGGCAGGAAGCTGCCGGAGGCCCCCTGGGCAAAGCTTGGCAAGAGGGAAGCACTCTGTGGGGAGAGGACACTGCAGCCTGTTCCTGCCTGCCCCCAAGSGAGCTCAGCGCAGCAAGGGCGGCCCCTCCACCTACTCCCAGGTGCTCCCCCCATTCCAACCTTACAGAGGCTGCCAAGATCCACCCTCCCAGGGATCCCCAGTACCCTCCAAGCCCATGAGTCCCCCATGCAGCCTCTGCACTCTGCTCCCTGCACTGTCCCCAAACATGAGCGCTGGGCAGCCCCACTGCCTGCCCTGCCGCCCCCAACCCTGCCCTTCTGTGGCGTGCGACCCCCTGGGGGCTGCTCAGCCCATGCAGATCCCCCAGCTCCCGGGGGGGCTGCTCATTCTGCCCYCCCTCCAGCTTCCCCCGAGCCCGGGGCCCCGTCCTGGCCTGGAGGGCTGCCGCCCCCCGTCCCCCGCAGCCGCTGCCTTTGGGCGCCCGCAGGGCGGCGCGGCGGCTCCGCCGGCACCGGCCGCC